GTGCATGGCCTGTAGGTGTCTAAGCATTTGCTGGCCTGGCGGTGAGGATGGTGTAGTGCAGGCTAAAGTGAGGCACACAAGTAAGTACACACGCATATCTGCTTTGGACAAAGCGAACAGGGTGGGAAGACTTTCTCAAAGAGGTCTGCTCAGAGCTGAATGTTCAAAGTGACTTAACCCACTGAGGTCCTCATACGTCAAATAACATCTACCTGTCTGACCAAGTCATTGTGAGACTGGACCTAGAGACAATGGCCAGACCACGTATAAAACAAATCTCTGACCGACAACCAGCAGCAACTTGCCCATGAAACCAAGCCGTGATTTAGAATGACCAGCCCAGGAAGTCAACCTGCTATAAGAAATACTCACAGGAAGTCAGGCTCCTATCTCTAAGACCAGTCCAAGAAGCCAAATAATGGACCCTTTAACAATCAGCCCCACGTGACCAGGACTTGATGAATAACTGAGAGTGTCCCTAATTTTGTTTTCAACTCCAACTTAGAACCAACCAGAAAAAGCCAAATATGTACCCACCTGGGAACCAATCAGCCCACCTGCCACTCCCCGGGGCCACATCCTCCATTCAGGATACACTTGAAGCCTTCCCTTTATTCCATTATAAATCTTTCCCACTCCTCGGTCTCTGAGTCACTACCAAAATGCAAGTGATGGTATTGATTCCTTTGCCATAGAAAGCTCTCTAAACAGCCTTTGCTTGTTCTCTTTTTTTTTTTTTTTTTGCAGTTTTTGGCAGGGGCTGGGTTTGAACCCACCACCTCTGGCATATGGGGCGGGTGCCCTACTCCTTTGAGCCACAGGCACCACCCAGCCTTTGCTTGCTCTCATTTGCTTGGTCTTTATTTACATTCACAGAATTTAGAATAATTTGCCAAACTATGGCAACAACCTAAATGCCCACCAATCCAGGGATGGATTAACAAGCTGTGGTATATGTATGCCAAGGAATACTATACAGCCATGAAAAGGATGGAGACTTTACATCTTTTGTATTAACCTGAATGGAGTTGAAACACATTATTCTCCGTAAAGCATCACAAGAATGGAGAAGAATCCACTGTACTCAATTCTGATAGGAGGACAATTGATGACCGAATACAGTGTGGGGGGTGGGGCAAGGGGGGAGCAAAGAGAGGAAAGGAGGGAGGGGGTGGGGTGGGATCACACTGTGTGACACACCTCTTGGAGGTAGGACATAATTACGAGAGACTTGATCTAACATATACAATCAGTGTAACCTGGTTCTCTGTACCCTCAGTGAATCCCCAACAATAAATAATAATAATAATAATTTGATAAGGTACGTAAATGTCTGGTACAGGTCATGACTATTAAGCCATTGACCTTTTGAATCATTAAAATAAATATAAAAACAAACAAAGCCCCGAGACCTAAAAAACTGAGTGATTAGCTCAGTGCCTGAGGCTCAAGTGGCTAAGGCACCAACCACATACACCTGAGGTGGCAGGTTCGAATCCAGCCTGGGCCTGCCAAATAGCAATGACGGCTGCAACCAAAAATAGCCAGGTGTTGTGGCTGGTGTTGTGGCAGGCGCCTGTGGTCCCAGCTACTTCGGAGGCAGAGGCAGGAGACTCCCTTGAGCCCAGGAGTTGGAGATTGCTGTGAGCTGTGATGCCATGGCACTCTACCCAGGGCCACAGCTTGAGGCTCTGTCTCAAAAAAAAAAAAAACTGAGTGATTTTGGGTGGCTCCTGTGGCTCAGTGAGTAGGGCATCGGCCCCATAAACCAAGGGTGGTGGTTCAAACAGTGCCCCAGCCAAACTGCAACAATAAAAAAACAGCCAGACATTGTGGTGAGCACCTGTAGTCCCAGCTACCCTGGAGGCTGAGGCAAGAGAATCACCTAAGCCCAAGAGCTGGAGGTTGCTGTGAGCTGTGACTCCATAGCACTCTACTGAGGGCGACAAAGTGAGACTCTGTCTCGGAAAAAAAAAAAAAGGAGCGATTTTTAACTCAAAAGCACACTTTTGTCTATGCCAAAAGGCCTAAGAACCTGGTTTTTAAGGCAATCAAGACTTTCAAAAGTGGCAGGTCAGATCTGAACATCGGCCCCCACCCTACGGGTTTGGGTCTTCCCTGTCTTAGCAGAGACGATCCAAGTGGCTTCCCACGTACCGTTCTGTATCCTGAGGCATCTTCCCAGTCCGAGTCCAAAGAGGCTGCAGGGAAGAAGCACATCTTACAGTGTGTGATTAAGGAGAATTACGGTTCATAAGCGGTTTTTACGTCCATCTGGGGATTTATCCTGGCCACACACACCTTCACTCTTCTCTCAGGCTCGGCTTCTTTCAACCGCCTCCCCTCTGGCCCCATAAAAAGGGTCCACTCCCCACTTTCTGGCAACTCTCCTAACAGACCCACAGAAAGAACACTGGGTTCTGCTCCCACTCAGGTGGGTTGAGAAGGGATTTTGAAACTAAGGGAATAAAGGTTTCAGAAGTCATTCTTAAAAGTTAGCGACAATTTTTCCCTCTGAGGTTCCGGGTAATAAAGACAAAACTTAATATTAGGTGTTAAGCAGATTTGAAGGCAGCTTTCTCTTGAACGTTCACCAGTCCTAGTTCCTATACGTCCCCTGTGAGGTTCAGTAGGGCGGCCCGGTACGTAAAATCCCAACTCCTGATCTTGGGCACCAGAAAATCTACTCTCAAAGAAAAACAGCAGACAGCAGGATGTCACTAAAAGGAGCTGGCGGTGAAGCTAAATAAGGACTAAAGCGGGTCGCCGGCCCCGCAAGGCCCCCGCCCTGCTCTGCCCGCCCGGGTTGGGCACCGCAGGTGGCCCAGGTAACCGCCAGTAACGGGTTCACGGCGACAGGCCCGGGCAGGGGCGCACCCCCTCTGCGTGGCTCGCTCGCGGGTCTTCGCCCACCAGGCCCACTTGTTGAGCGAGTTACCTACGAAGACCTCCGTTAGGAGCAGCAGCACCAAGCGCAGCGCCGCGACCGCCATCCTCGCCCCGCGGCCGGCCGTGGGGACTGAGCGCTCCTGCGCCCGCACCTCTCGACTCGCAGCGGGCAC